GATTTAAGATTGTAGTAGCATTAAAAGACTTTAACCGTTCTATTGCTTCTATACCACCAACATTACTAAAGAGCCTGAAAACCTTTTTACCCCTTTCCTTTCTTTTTCGAAGGTTAGTCTCGGTAAGCTTATCTTGTACAGAAATCTGATTCATGATTCTATCGTTAACTTTAGCATTAGATACATCCTCATTACAAGTTTTTCTAAAATGATCGAATAACTGCTTAGTAGCTTGGCCAAAAACATAATAGCATCGAAGCAAATCATAAGTGGTTCTTCAAAGATTGTCTTCAGCAGTACCAATCTTATTATATAAATCGAGAAAATCAAGCAAGTTTACGTCCATTTCAGAGACACTCGACTGCAAAGTGATGAGGGGATCTCGAGAGAGACCATCTTCTAGGGACTCAGGAGAAGTCAACTCCATAATTAGTTTTTTCAATGTAGGGGAATCATTTCTATCAATCTGCTTCCTGATCTGCTTCGCTTTCTTGCTAGATGATTGTTCGGTAGAAGCAGGATTCATAGTGCGTTTATTCTGTGTGGTTCTTGAGCCCTGGGTTTCAAAATTGTCAGTTACTATTTCATCGTTGTCAGTTTCCATATCAGCAGTTTCCGTATCATTAGTTGATGGACATATAGGGCACAGCTTTCGTGGATTATCGATACAGCTGTAATGGACAATATGCATGCAGGTTAAATATACGAGTGGTTTCGGAGGACCTTGGGGTTGAGGGGAGATTCGAAGAAAGCCTAGAGGAGGGAGGTATGAAGAAAAATCTTCAGAACATTTAGCACATCTCAAAGTACTTTTGACTTGCTGAGTTGCTGTACCCTTGATCCCTCCCATCCGTATAGGTGGTGAAGATAGGGTAAACGTCCCCATTAAGTTGGATAAAGGTGAAATTCCACTTGATTGAGAGGTCACTCTGGAATCAGGTATTGGCAGATCGGAAATGATAGTAAGGCCATCAGCTTGATCTAAGATGTCCACACTCTTTCCACAGTCGGGGGCTGGACATGCGCTTGAAGTACCAATAAAAAGTTTTTTTTTGATACAGAGTCTGTGAAAAATATGTCCGCAGGCGAGGTATGAGAATGCTTTGAGAGGAGACATTAAAATGTCATTGCCACATTCGGGGCATGAATCTAGTTCTGGGAAATCAATATCTCCAACAGTTTCATCATCAAGACTTTTGAGGATATTATATCCAAGGTTTTTAAGATTAACAAGAGAGGGTCTCTCAGATTCCGAAATACTGCTCTTTTCTCTACTTTGCGTGTTGCCGATTGGGCCAATATTGATTTCATCAACAGTGGTCACTTCCGTATTAACAGAGCTATCTTGGTTCTCCATACCTGCCCACTTATCATCACTCTCGTGGTCAGCTATCTTGCTGGCTAAAGCTAAAGACGGGTTTTTATAGCATTTGTAAATTTCGTAGGAGAAAACATTCCCTTCGGGATTAATTTTCACCAGCAATTACACACTACATTTCGTCATTCCGTTAATCCCCCTGCAAATCGATAAAAATGACTTCATGATAAGCATAGATATCCCCAATCCCATATGCGAAATAATGATTGCTAGAGAAATATCCATACCTGAATATTGTTTTGCTAGTATGACAGTAGCGTGAGGGAAGAAATGGAATAATGCTTCGATGGAAAGAATTTTTTGTTAGACATGGTGCGGAAAAAAATAATGTGAATATATTATATATGCCAATCTTACGTCGCACAGCCCCTATTCTTCGGCAAGAATTTCTCCGATATCTTCTGTGCATTTCAGGTGATAGGGTTTAGAATACCGCAGTCTCTTTTGGATAAGCCACCCACGTGATTCGAAAAGGAACGAACGAAGTAATAATATTTAGGCCTAAGCGAAAACTTGTATAAACTGGGTATGGGATTCTTCCATTCTTTCATAAGTTTATCCAGCCATACAGTGCTTAAACGGCTCTCTAGAATACCACGACGCATTAGCTCTTCACCGATTAGCCTATCACGATCTTTTAGTATTTTATGGTATTTTCTACGATCTTCGTTTGTTTCTATTGAACTACGATAAAATCCTATATCTCTCTCCAAGAGAAATCGGGGTGAAACTTTTACATATATTATTAAAAGGAGATCACATGATATATTCAAATAATGTAAACTGTATCTTTTTTTATTAAGAATTAATATTATAATAAGCTAAAAATTTAAAAGATGATTAATTAGGATGTCTAGTAAAAATTAAGATACATCACATTCTTATTAATATATAATACAAAATATAATGCAATAAAGATTTTTTCTTATCGATATTTCGTTAATAAATTTATATGTTTAAAGCTTCTCGCACTACAACTTGAAGCTCATAGAGGTCCAAATTAAATCCAGCAGCAAATCCTACGGGAAGTGTATTTGGTACAATAGGAAATCCTGCGGGAAGATTATTTGCTGGAACTCCATCAAATAATTCTGTTCCAGGAATATTCATTGTATATGTCGGAATGTTAGCTGCATTGCAAGGAGGAAAGTTATTGTTATTATTATTAGGATCAGGACGCCCAACACCAACAAAGCTACCAGGAGGAACATTCATTTGCTGTGTAATATAGTTTACAGTATTTGTATCAGGATTTGCCGTCCCAAAAGAAATGACCCTAGTTGGAACCAGCGGGGTTGGACTTGTACGAAGGTACAATGCAGCAATAAGTGCAATGGTACTAGTGTTTGTAAGAGCGTTTGTACGAATTCCAAAAATCTTGATAGCTAACACGATTTGGATTGTGGTTTGTTGACCGAGGTAGCGAATTGCCGTTCGATGAAGATCAGGAAGACTCTGAGAAAAACCAACCTCAATCATCATTGTTGGAAACGCGTTTCCATATCTATCTGCAGCTGGTGCACCTTGTTGTGGCCTAGGACGATGTCTTGGTCGGACATAAACATCTGGCTCTCTGCCAGAACCTCGACCCAAAGTTGTGGTTGCATCAGTACCATATCGAAAATCCTGCATATTCCATATGCTCATAAATCCAATGATCGCTCCTGCTACTTCTGCATGAGGGGCGGAAGGTACTTCATATATTTTAATTTTCCCATCACACAAGTACATGCGAACAGAAGTATTCATATTATTTTCACGATAACGGAGATATTCTTCAAGTGGTACATTTTCTTTTATAGTTATCTCTCTTGATCCTGTGTATCCTTCTTCTTCTTCTTCATTTACTTCTTCCCCTTCTTCTCGGGCTTTTTGGAATGTGAGCAATTTTTCTCTTGCTGATTCAATAGCCGCGGAAGATAAGTGAAGCCTTTTCTCTCGTGTAGGCTGGAAGGTAAGTTGACTAGAGTCACTAGGCTGAGAGGCAAGTTGACTAGACTGTTGACTAGACTGTTGACTAGACTGTCGAGACTGGGAACGCGTGATACGATAAGGAAAATAACGAACTCCTGAGTCTAAAATTATATCACTAGTTAATAACTGTTAAATTCCTATAATCTTACCATCTGTATTGTTGCGGGAACTTGAGGCCATAATTTATATATTTTAAGAGTGATTGTTAAGAGATTTCTTTTTTTTTTACGTTTTAAGGTTGATTGAATTGATTGGAGATTTCTTTGAAACGGATATTTATAAGACCGATTGTCGCACAGATTTAGTAATAATCACATGATACCAAGCATAATCAATTGTCACAGAATTTTTTATACTTGCGAAACTATGCGAATAATAGAATTAATCTAAAATGACTATATGGAATGTGAAGTTCCCGGATCTCGTTACTTAATAAACTACTTATCTCTCATGCAGAAATAGGCTGATTTAGGACTGCATTCTCAAAATATGCTTATCGAGTGAGATCCTTTGATATAATCGCATATTTACTGCCTTGACTATTGATCCATACAGATACCAATGCTTTTTTTCGCAAAAATGCCATCACGTGGCTATTATCGCGAACTTGAGTTTATTGCTTGAAGTGTTGCAGGTGAGACAATATTCCAACTTATCTTGAGAATAGAACTTCGCTATTTCAGGATTATAAGGGAGCTGATTCCCATTTCGCAGTACCATTTGCCATGTAATCCATAATTCCCATGTTTTCCATCACAAATAGGGCATGATGAGCTCCACGGCTGAGGTGATATAAAATCATAATTATCAATCCCTCTGAAACTATTTCCGAATTTCAAGTATGGGAAGTGCTCTAAGATGGATTTGATAATTGATTCTGGATCGGGTCTGGCTTCGAAGGTGATAGGCCCTTTTTCTTCACATTGCTCAGAAAAAGATAAATAGGATACTTTGTTTTCTGGCTTCAAATTTATGAGAAGGCGGGCTTTTGATAATTGCCATGACTCATATCCAGTTTCTTTTTTATATTTTTTGTATAAGCTGGACCGAATCCTATCTGTCAAAACACTTGGTAAACCAGTTAATTTGGCATGCCAATCCAGATATTCGGGGGTTAATACTTTATCGGACTTGGACATGTTGACTTTTTTCTATGATTGCGAATCAATTTAAATTTTGTAATAGACTAATAGTTGACATAATTAGCCCTAAAAAATATTACACAATGAAGCGTGAGCAAATAGAATATAATATAAAATAATGAGACTATGCAACTATCTCAATTTCACGCTGTTCACATTTAATAAAATAGGATCTGGCTTCATATCTACCTTTTATACCTTCCTCATCATTATGATCTAACTTGCATAATGGACATGAAGTCTTGTCAGTAATTCCATAATAATTAACATTTTCACTACTAAATTCTCTATATAAATTAGGATATTGATCCAATGCTTTGTTGCGAAAATAGGCGTGGTCATAAGTTGGACTATTGGGTTGAGAAATAGGTGGTATCACCTCTACCTTGGTATCAAATTTTTTCAGGGCAGATTCATTGGGAACTTGAGATTCAGTAGGCGCATCCGAAATGGTGATATGTGATAAGTCAGAATTTTTCTTATCACTTTGTGAACTTGGTTCACAAAGTTGTATCTCCATATGAATGCTATAATCAAAGGGTATATTGTCAATAATATACTGGATGTCTTCATACGTCATTTTTGAGATAGAATCAGCAGAAAAGGAATGAATTCGCTTTATTTTATCCATACCTATTGCATTAAAAAGTGTATAGAGCTTCTTGGCCTACTTGATTCTTTTCCGTAAAAGTGCATCAGAAGTACCAGTAGGAAGCTGAGCTTTAACTTCTATATTTAGAATTCTACTGACTGTATTAGACCCCAGATCAACTTGTTTTTCAGATGCGATCTCACCTCACCTCTGGATAAGAGTTTTCCCAAATTGACAGTAACAAAAGATAGCTTTTTAGGTCGCATGATCAGCAAGGATTACGGCATCACAAAGTTTTTCATATAAAAGAGAAAAGGTTGGCGTTCTCATTTCTACTGCTAAGGGATCACAGCTTCGTATTGTTTTCTCTAGGCAAACATCCAAAGAATTCGAGCCTAGCTCATCTATAATATTGGAACAATTGGTGCTTGAATCCAATTCTCTTTGTGAAGATACTGAAAGTATCGAATCATTTGAGGTTACTTCAGTGACCGCCCCCTCGGACACTTCCTGAATGAATTTTTCCTTTTGTTTTTTCTGATTTTCCTTACGAAGTGCCCTTTTGTTGACTGATACCTGTTTACCTTTTTCAGGAGAGATGGATTCCACTTTTGCAAGCTTCTCATCCCGCTTTCTCTGCCTTATCCCATCACTAACAATTTTCTTATTCACTTCATCCAGAAAAGAGTCCATCATCTTTTCCTCTGACGACTTGGAATTGACAGATACCACTTCATTCACTATTACGGAGTCTGGTATGTCAGCAAGTTTTTTGGGAGAGGAATCCTTTCGTGGATGCCTAGAATCTTCTTTCAGTTTTGCAACTCTAGCCTTAAGCTCGGCATTCTCAGCATCATGCTTGACATTTTCAACATCACGTCTAGTATTCTCGATGGCAGTATTTATTCTAGCTTTTTCTAATTTCTCGATTCTATTCCTGAGCTTGGCCCTTAACTTTGTAATCTCATCCTTGGCCTCATCATACTTGACCTTAAACTCAGCATTCTCAGCCATAAGTCTGGCGTTTTCTTGCCTAAGTAAATCAATCTCAGATGTCATTTTCGAAAATAATTTTATATACTGTATATTTACATTCAAAATAAAAAATTCACGTGATTCCACTTTGTGAACTTAGTTTAAATATGAAAGTGAGCATGAATAATAAAGAAATGCCTTGTAATTGGTTATTAGTTGGACAGACCCGTTTCTGTAAAAATTCGACACGAGATCAATATTGTGCATCCCATGCATTTAAAATACGAAAGGGCGTAATAATCCCACAACCATGTAAAGGATGTAGACGAGGCACTAAATCAAGCGTTCAGCTTTGTGTCCAATGCGGTCAAGGTAAGGAAAAAGCATACATATATTATAAAAAGAAGAATATGGGAGGAAATGAGTAATTAAACATACCATTTTCATAAGTACTAATCATCTATTATCACTTTCATAAATGCTAATTTCAACAATCCATATGCAAGAATCAGACATACATAGAACAGTACTTAATTTACTAACTGGTCGATGGATCAGCCTGAATGGAAAGCTATTTCAGAAGTTGATTTGCAAAGGTTACAGATATGCTAATAGACTTTCAGATTATTTAGAAGATATTGGAACTATATGTATCAGTGATTTTGAGCTGGATCCCTTAGCCGACTTCTACTATCCAGCCTTAATTCCGCCCTTATCTATCTTAGCAAGTAGATCAGATATTCATAAAAACTTCCCTATTACTGTGGACTCTGCTGTTGAGGGTGAGATGAGTTTATTTACCCTCGAAAAAAATAAACGATCTTTGCTTCAAAACTTAATGGAAATGAATTACGGTAACCTATCTACATTGGTAGAGATAACTTGGGAGCGTGAGGAGACAAAAGCTTGGAGTAATTACATACTCGTGAAATTCCTTCATCATCCAAATTTGGTTCCTTCAAAGTATAGGCCAAATTCTTTATACAACGCATTCACCAAGACTAGTGTTTTAGGGTCAGAACATATATTGGCTCTAGCGCGAGCATTATGCTAACGATTATGATATAATAAATTGTTTATAGCCCTGGAATGGCAGTTCCATGACTATATATTTTTTCGCTTATCATATATCTGCAAAATTCAATTTTTTTTTATTAATATATAAATAAATACAAATGTTCGGGACTGTGTCCGTGATACATGACATTTAGGCTATTATACATGATTATTTTTTTGAACGATATTCCTTTATCCTAGCCTTCTTCCTATCCGGTTTTTCGCCCACACACTCTAACCTATCTTTCAATAGCCCAACGACGACCTCCATACCCTGTTTCACATTTTTACATAAGTCTTTTTCTTCTTCCGATCCTTCCTTCAAGGCTGATTCAGTAAATCGGATATTGAGGGGATCCTTGCTCGTGCTCGATATCCCATCCGAGGTAAAAAGAATAAAATACCATTCCAAGGCTGTTGTAACGATCCTGTAGATATAGTCGAAGTCTTCCCCAAACGCCTCACCTGATTTACGTTTCCTATTTTTTTTATTAATTTGTAGAGCGCTTTCACATTGAATCAAATTCTGAGCGAAACCCATGACCACTTGATGTAGCTTCCCTTCCGTGATGCATAGAAGTTCCTCTAGGGCTTTGATTGCATAGTCAACCCGGCCAGTACTTTCTTCTCCAACGATTTCGAGCTGAGGTGCTAAGGTAAGCTCTTTATCTGTTATTCTTTTGATGATATAGAGCGAAGCGTAAAGAATGGCCGAAATATACTCGCAACACATGGCTTCGTTACTATCGGCAAGTATGCTCACCATATTTCCCAACCTATGCTTTATTTCCTTTATACACTGAACCAATTCTTCATCATTGTCTTCGAATTTGTAGGTCGGCTAGAAGGTTGTATGGGGTTAGTGATTTGCATATGCCTTTAGCCTTTTGGCTAAATTCTAAGACTATATGGTGCTTAATAAACTTACCGGCAGAAATTGACGAATGGTACCTATACCTAGGGTTGCTTGTCTAAACCTCTTCAAAATCCTACGATTAGTTTCGTCAAAATTTTACTATAGATTTATTATAGTTTTGGCAGAGTTTCGGCAGTTTCGGCATTTATAATAAGTTTTGGCAGTTTCGCCTTTCTCCAAAGTTTCGCCAGTTTTTTAATATAACTTTAATATAGTTTCAGCAGAATTTTGCTTTTCGGCGAAACGCCATCTTGTCTAAACCCCTAGGTTTCGGTAAGCAACCTTACCTATACCATTGCCATCAATACCGTATTTCGTTAAAACTGCGGTAGGTCAAGAACGCACGCTTCTTTTTCTTTTTACACTCCTTAGCGAACTTTGCAAGGGTCACAGCAGGTCTTATTTTTAACCCACAATCTCTGAACTTCTGCTCGGTCATATTAAGGAAGGCACGGCCAGTAACCTTTTCATTGCGAATAATTTCCAAGTCATCGTCATCAAGCCCCAAGTCCTCCTCCTTACGCAAAAATTCGATAAGTTCAGCCGTCTTATATTTCTTAATTTCGTCCGCTAGCGAGACCATCTCATTATTACCAAAGGTAATGGTGGAAGCTGGAGTATAAGGTGTACTAGTTTCAGACATAGTGTTACGTTTTTATAGGGATATTTGGCTCGGTAAAAAAATAGTATTACGTCCGGAGGAAAATATAGTTTTTATTTCTAGTGGGAACGCAAGTGTTAATATAGGTTTTTATGTAGCACAGGTATTGCATCATCGCACGTGACCCTTTCTCATATACATTCGATAAGATAATACTTTATTTATGAAATAAAAACGTTGCCGGTAGCTGGCCTACAATACATAAAAATGCGACTATATCGCTACATGATAATGAAATATAGATAAAAAAATCTAACTACTGGGGGACCCTTTGGACTTTGGGACTGGGTATATGAGGATGAGACCCTCTTCAATATGATCAATATTAAAATGCTTCAAAATTATATCATCTTGTTTCAACTCTTTTCCCGGCCCTTTTGGGTTATCCACGTAAAGCTTAATCTCATCAGAAACCTGCTTATAAAGTGTTGCCATTTCTTTTTTAATAGTATGGCATCTTTGACCAATGTTTGCCAGGCTATTTTGATTATGAAGATTTCATCATCCGATTTGTCATGGACTTTAAACCTGAAGTCAATAATATTGGCCATTTTTTCGTTTCCTAAATACAAAGCCCATAGTGAGAAAAACTCGCTCCCATACATACATAATTTAGGGCATATACATACCTTATTTTGCGTTATTTTATGGGAATGTTTTTTGCGGAAAGTTGGCTGAACTTCCACATACTCTTACATGCTTTATATCTTGCTGGAAAAAAAGCGCCAAGCCAAAGTTAAGGAGATAAGAATAGTGATTAGCATTGTCGTATGTTGCCAAGAGCTCTATGAAAGCATATGTAAACGGAATCCTCTTACCTTTTCACATGTAGATCTACTGGAAAGACATAGCTGGTTTTACGCCTGGCGATCTCAAAATTGTGGGTCTTTCAGCCCTTCATAACATATGCTTTTGACGTTAATATTTACTTTTAAAGCTTGTCCTGTGTTGCTTGTAAACATTCTTTCACATTTTCTCATGATTGTTTGGGGAAAAAATAGAGGTAGTAGTTAGCATGAATATATATATATGCGAAAATTAATATGCTTTAGCGCCTTAACGGCTGTCGCACAAGACCTGACTGATGATCCACTTATTTTTTGTCGCACAGGAGTGGCTCAGCAAATTCATTCGAGCTGAAGATCACTGCTCCGGACTATTGATCTAGCCAACCCTGGATCGGAATATCACTGCAAATTATCTCGCATACTTAAATCTAAGAGGCGCTGAAGCCCCTGTGCTAAAATCTGTCTACTAAAAACGTTGTTCTGTACAAGATAATTTCTAACTGCTTCAATGAGATCGGGAGGTGATAAAGTTTCCTCAAAATTCTCTATGTGGATATTTGGATTTAGCTTATTTACAGCTCCTTTGCTAATTTTATAACACCCCCTTAAATTAAGATATTTTAAATTGGGACATGATCTAGCAATTTCTTCAATAGTTATATCAGTAATTTCACAATAGCTAAGGTTTAGTTGTTGGAGCCTCTGGCAGTAGCAAATAACATTACAAATTATTATTTCAGAAAACCCTGTATGACCCGAAATATTTAGATATTCTAGTTTGTGGCATGAATTTGCGATTGCAGATAAACCTATATCGCTTTCTGATTTAAATCCGTGTAAAGCAGATATATTAAGATACTCCAAATTTGGGTATGATTTCGCTATTAGCTTTAGAGTTTTACCAATACGGTCTTCTGTACTTCCTTCTAAATCTAAATGAATTATATTTGGGAATGTGTGTACAATGCCTTTGATTTTTTTATTTGAAAGTGGATAGTAGTGTGATATTTTAAGATGAGTTAGTTTCGAGCTATAAACTGGTTTTCTTCCTCCTCCAGGTACTATTTTTAAAAACTTTCCAATCGAATTTTATCATTTACTTTATTCCCCTTTAGCTCAATACGCCTCCATAGAATAGGAGCACCGCATCTGTACCACAATCAGAATACAAATAGAGCGGGATATAGTGACTTATCTATTGCTAAGAAATATAGAATTCGCTCTAATAGTTCCGGTAAATTAAAAATGCTTGAATGCGCCATAAATATTCTATTTTATATGTTGTATCTTTAAACAAAAAATAAAATTACGCGATCACTGCTCTGGGCTGGCTGGCTTAGAAGAACAATCATCTTTTTGCACAAACTCTAGCTCTCGTGCCAATCTATCCAATGTTAATTTAAGACCAATTATATAGACTTCTTGTTAAAATTCAGGTGCAACCCCTGCTAGAAACACCTTTTTAATATTTTTATTCGCATCTTCTATAATATCATCTAAACTTTCCATATTGTGTAATTTGCTAGTAAACCCCATACTTTGTTATAGGAGCCTATATCCTTAATTAAAAAAATAATATTAATGTATGCATAGTGACTTTCCTACCCACTTGCTTGCTCATATGCCAGAAAAAATATATAACATTTCATCATCTGATCTTTCGCGATTCTTCTCTTGTTCACTGTTCTAGACTATGTTACAGTATATGAATTAAAATAACATCAGGCACATTCTCTTATATAGGATCATTCTCTACAAAATACAGCGTTTCATCATCATAATAAAGAATCTTGTTTATAAATTGTTTTATTCCGAATCCAAAAGGTCTATTATATTCTTTTGGGGCAAATCCTCCGTATGTATCTTTTTTAATGAAACCTAAAAATTCTGATTCTTCCCATTTATCTACATCCCACCATGGGACAACATTTTTAGCTATCTGCCGAATATTATATTTGACTATTTCTTTTTCCTGTCCTTCGAGCATTCCATTATGAAGCATATATCTTTCGATCTCTACCTGTTTTTTAGCTATTTCGGTTTCCCTTTCAATAAATTCCTCTGATACTACATCCCAATTAAAGAGATATTCCAGTTTCTCTTCTTCATGTCCCAATTTATAGTATTCTAGTACTTGTATCTTCCATCTTTGTCGAAACTCATGCTGGATTTCTTTATACTAAGTACTATTTATCCAGCAGAGCTTATCAAGAACCTCTAATGGAAGCTTTTGAATGATTATAGCAATTGTATCTGCTTTTTCGAGCGGGTTGTATGAATGCATTGTATATCAAACGTAATAATTTACTTAACTAATGTTTTTTATTTCAATTGCTAATTTTCATCTACATTATTCTCTAGACGAAAAAATATCTTTATATAAAAGCTTTGCCAAAGACAACTAGATTGCCATTGCTTTGAACATCTGCTCTATTTCGTCATCTGATTTTTCACGATTCTTCTCCCTAGCTATTAGATAATAAAGCTCATATAATACCTCTAAACTGCTATATAGATCATTATCTTCATACCTTTTGCGATAATTTTCTAGCCTTTCAGTATATGCTTCTTCCTTAGGGAACATTTTTACTGCAAGTATCTTAATATAGTTGTTCGGATCTTTTTCAGCTCGCAGTTTCTTTAGATAGTCTCCATAATTTTTCGCAAGATTATCATATTTTCTGCCCTTTCACAAAGCAGTTTTTATGACTTTGACTTGCACAAGTTCTATATCTTTATGATCTACCATTTTTGTATGTTTCTAATATAGCAATAGAAAAACTTTAATTAGTAAAATTATATTCTTTGATAATTTTACCTCCGGAAAAAATATTTGTTATAAAGTCTCTATTTCTTGACTCAAAGTCTAACTTTCATAGCCCTTTCTTCTGCTTCCTCAGGAGATATTCCAGATGCTACCAGGTGTTTGTATAATCCAATTCGCCAATGTCCATAGACCATAGGGGAGAGTTCGAATTCCATCAAGTAAGATCCAGCGCTTGTTATCATATGGATTCAGCCATATCTTATTTACCCTCTCCAGATATATTTGATGATCATAACTTCGGAGGCCATACATATCATGCCGGGTTAGTTTTTGTTCCTAAGACATTCTAGGAACTTATCATGTCGAAGTTCCCTCTTAACCACGCATTTCTTAACACCCTTAGCCTTCTGGATGCCATGCTTCTTTTTAGGGTCTTCTGAATCGAGATCATTGGGAGTTTTAGGATCATGACCTGCTGGAAGAACTGAATACATTTTTGGCTTTAAGTATACTGATTCGTCTATTGGATTCCCTTTTGTCTCATCCTTCATTAGAAACAAGTCTCCTGAATAGTTAAAATCGAAAATATCTGGTCTTTCTGCTCGATCTTTATATATGTCTTCAGTTTCTATCCACATTATGAGCGAGTCTGTATCTGTATAAAGTAGACGGGTCTTATCTCCATAGCGAGGCTTTATGTAACCGTACCAAAAGTTGAACATCATAGCCTTGCTAATGTCGAGAATTGCCTGCCCAGGACCCCGGATATCTCCAAAACAGGTCATAAGTCACACTTTCGGCAGATTGGCCCATTTTACAGGAGCTCAAAAAATCGTTTTTTGTAAATATCTCGGCATCCAGATGTCCAATTTTGATGAACTTTTTTTTAAATTGTAGAGCTAAATGAGGGCTACAAAATAAAAAAAAGTTCATTAAAATTGAATTACTGGATGCTGAGATATTTACAAAAAACGATTTTTTGAGTTTCAGCAAAAAGGTGTGTTTTTGGCCAAAAGTCCATTATGACCTTTATATTAGATATCCGGGGTCCTGCCTGCCCTATATAGATTGGTTTGTTTAGAGTTACTGTACTTTTTAATATATGGACTGCTGTAATTCTCCTTTCGAATGCTTTAAAGCCTACATATAATGGTGAACTTGCTAGGCGCCTGATTTTTTATCCTCTTCTATTCAGAGTAATTCTACTCTCATATGTTTACGAACATTTTTCATTTGTTTGCCAAAGACTGCATTGTTCTTTAGCTTATAATACATGACCCCAAACTCGTCCCATTAGCTTTAGCAATTTTACGCTTGCGAATGTTTTCCTCAATATATTCTTTCATCCAGGGGGATTGCTTAAACTTGAGTGTGCTGTGGATCTTTGTGACCTTTAGCCCTTGTCTCATATATAGCTGGAGTGCACGATAATAGACCACGTAGTTCTTTTTGGGATAAAGGGGTTAGACGAGCTTTTCTCCTGTTACATATTTGCCACCTCCTACTTCCTTGTCTTGTACTAATTTTGCGTTGTATGGACTTAACCAGTTTTCAGGTACTATTTGCTTTTCTGGCGCTAATGGATAATCTGCAAAGTAATCGTGCAAGTGCACTGGAACTTCTAGATCAACTTCAAGTGTATAACCTATATCTGCATCAGGTGCGATGCTTTGGATATCTGGTACTTCCTTCAGGTCCACCTTACCTAAGATTTCTGTAGGCATGTATTGGGTCATCGCGCCTGAGTATAAGGCATTCATATCCTCATACATGATCCAGGGATTCGGCTTGCTGGACTCATAGTCTAGACATTGTGGATTATTTGCTTTGGCATATCAATGACTTGACATTGTCATACCTCCACGAATGCCTTTTTCTACCGTTAGATATTCATCCATATTTGTCATAAGTTTGAGTTCTGCTCCACTACTTTTGTAAAGAGAATCATTAAACATTCCAGGTGCTGAGATGTAGTGGGAAGGGTCTAAGCCATCATCTTGCAGACACATGATGGTATAGTTCATAAATACATCAGCTAGTAAGAGTACGTCTGTCTCAAGATATAAGTCATGATATTTTCCAAAATTCTTCATTTCAAATTCCTGCCATACCTTTTGAGCATGTTCATAATCCTCTTTACTAATATTTTTCTGGCTAAGAAGCGAATAAAAACCCTTTCTAGGTGGGAGTAAGGTTGCTTGCCGAAACCTAGGGGTTTAGGCAAGATGGCGTTTCACCGAAAAGCGAAATTCTGCCGAAACTATATTAAAGTTATATTAAAAAACTGGCGAAACTTTGGAGAAAGGCAAAACTGCCAAAACTTATTATAAATGCCGAAACTGCCAAAACTCTGCCGAAACTATAATAAATCTATAGTAAAATTTTAACGAAACTAATCGTAGGATTTTGAAGAGGTTTAGACAAGCAACCTTAGGTGGGAGGCTTGTTTTGTCGAATTTTTCCCATGCATTTGTCCAGTCATATGGGAAAACGCCCTTTCAAAAAAGAAGCTTAATCTTATCTATTGAGTAGCCTTTCTCTGTGAAATGCTTAACATTTAGGGGGAACTTTTCTGGGTTTTCTTCTAGACATGCTACTAAGTTATCTAAACCCATTGCCATATGCTGAAAACTATCTAGAAATCGGAGTTGACCTAAATCCATGGCCTTATACTTTCCAATATTTTCTGGAATACAATTTAGCTTATCAGCCGTGAACTTGCTCAAGCGGATGGGAATCATACCCACGGAAATTATGGCAGATGAGAGGCACTTTCGTCTCAAAAGATCCTATCTGCAACTTTTTATTGCAGGCATTATGAGCTGGACCTCAAAACTTACCACTTATATGGTCATGGTCTTTTACTTTTTGATTGATCCCACTTAAAGCTTTGCTATATTCCTTCTGTGCCTCTTTCTTTTTAGAATGTTCTTTTTCCATACATGTTTCCCATTCTTTAATTTCTAATAAATTATGCTTTGTTTCTTTGAGCTTTTGTACCACCTCTGGTGCTGGTTTTAAAAAAGGTCCCTTGCAAATCCAGCATTCTGTCGCTTCATTGTACGTTTTCAGATCTCCTGGTGCCATTATCATTTCAGCCGGTGCGGATAAGTCCTCCTGTATGTTTACCTGCTCCTCCTCGATTTTTGTAACAAATCTTTCAAGTACATCTGGACCTCTGTATAAATCATGACTCATAATCTTATAGTTAAGTGAACTATCCATACGAACAACTACATAACAATAGCCACATGGCTTGTGCATCTGTAATCTTTCGGTATGGGTTAACTTCGCCTTCTCTTTGGGGGCTAACTTTTCGGTTAACATTTCTAGATCCCAGAAAATGCGATATGGATTTGGTTGCATATATTTATGATTATAGAAAGCTTTGACACTCCTATTCTTCACCGGCATTTGCGGGCGCTGAGGGGCATTATTTAGACCCTTGCATTTTGGTAAATGTTCATTGTATCTTATCTCTGAAGAGTATACATGAAGACAATAACGGTAGAGGTATTTTCGCCCTTTATGTTTGCTATGATTGTATACTAGCTTATGTAAATCTTTGATAATACAGTAATGGCTTCTATCATCTTCTGTAATTACTAGAAGATTTATTTGCTTGTATTCATCTTTTCTTCTTTCTGTAACATAGCGAAAGTTAAGACATTTGTTTTGGTTGTGCCATTTATAGACACATAGACTGATTTCAGGATTATTTTCTTCGAACTTCTTATAAACT